CAACCGGTCTTATATGTTTTTATGTAATAATAATTTGTGAACAACTTAACCTAAAGAGCCATATATTGTTTAATATAATCATTTCTTTTTTCTGGGTGAAATGGGTGTAGGTATAGTTGTACCTTTATATGTACCTCTTAACCCTAAATTCTGCCCCCGGCAAACATTATATTGACGTAGACATTTAATTTTATATGAATATGTTATCTCCCAATTGAGTCAAAATTAGTCAATCTTTGACAACTTTTTGAAGCCAACACAATCACAAATTCACAATAAACCAATAAAAGTTGATTATCACTTTATTTAGATCGAATTATGTTTACCTATGGTGATCTAGTTATTCATTATGCTCCTATATGGTTTATCTAATTAGTTGACATTGTTTTTCTAATCAACACTTCAAATTTTAAAAACCCAAATTGCATGCGATTATACATGAACCTAATGAGGCAATACAATTGTGTATATAAAAACAATGATACAAACCTAATATATATTATACATATGGTGGATTGACTCCCATCATAAATTAGCAAATCTCCCAAGATTGACTTATAGTTTGTTTTACAACAATTTTTAATTAAGTTGTTTTTGAATTTTGTCTTGATTAAATCGTCATCCATAATATTTTGAAAAAGCACAATCAAATGCACATTTAGTCACTATCCAATTTCTCATATATTCAATTAATGGCTAATTTATCTAATTATACATTCTTGTACCAAACGCAAAGGCAAAATATTAATCAATTTATATAGTATTTTGCATAACACATTAACACTCGCTATTTGTTAGTTGTTACTATTGTTAGTGCTATGACGACAACCATTAATTCTTTTTTTCTTTTGGCAACTTGCATGAGTTGCCATTATTTGACGTATTCAAGGGTTAATATAAAATTTAAGCATCCCCTCAAAATTTTAAATTTACACTAAGAGGAATCCCACAAGATCTCACCTATATACTAATTGAATGTGTTTTTTCTTATTTATTACTCCATCTGTTTCAAAATAAATGACCTAATTGGACTTTTACACTATTCACACACTACTTTATAACCTCTGTTATTTCTTACACAGAAAATAAAGTAAGTATAGTTATGTGGTTATCTGTTAGAATCATCTCAATAATCAACGTTTTATAATCTACAGTTATTGATAATTCAAGATATTATTGGATAAAATTATGTGTTGGCAAATGTATTATTCTATATGAGGCATTATGAAACAGAAGGAGTAGTTTTAAAATGTGGTCGAGCTTAGTCAAATTAGTACATCAGGCTCAACCAAAAAAATCTATATCAAACCCTATTGAAGTCAAATCATAATATTTTATTACATACAAGTGAAGAGAACAAGTTTTAAAAACCACATATATCATTATCCTATATTGCGAGTTGATTTAATTACAATTTCGCCATTTGATAACAAGGAGATAAATTGGGGCTTCTTCGAAAATATTTGTAACATTCATTGAAATAAAAGAAGAAAGAAGTGTACTCATGGAATCATAGCAAAGTTGCAAATATCAACACTTGGATTGAATAAAACGCGCGTGGAAGGGCTTTAGTGATAGTAATTAGAGAGTACTTAGAAATTCTTAAACCACTTAATATTTATTTAATTATTTTATTGATTAATTAATAAATAATATTAATAAAATAAGAATGGAGACAGAGCATCTAAAAGAGGGAAAAGGAAAGTGGTCACACCCCACTAATTCGTCTTTTAATGCAAATTGCCAAGCACATTGGCCCAGGCTTATGATTCCCTTTCACCCCCTCAATTTGCATAAATACTTTCTTTATTTTAATTGATTATTTCATTTTATTCACCAAAAATAAAAAAAAAAGTTGTTGTCAGATACCAATCTAAAACGATACTTAAATATTCTATACCTGTAATTATATTCTTATTATTATATATTTACACTATATGCTTCAATTATATGCTGACGTCGTGAGAGTTCTATATAATATTATGGTCTTTTGATCTTCAATTCCTTTTGGGTTTTGTACCATGTACGTACATATAGAACTAAGACTTGTCATTTAAAAATAAAATATTTAGAAAAAATTAATTCGTAATTTGACAATATTTTCCTTCTTATTTTTTGGGTGTTTGTTTTTATGTATGATTAGATTGAATCAGGGTGAACTTTAGATGTATATTTAATCCAAAAATTAGCATGGTAACTATATACTATGAGCTCGAACAAGCACTCACAAAGCTAAATGTAAACTCCCTTTTTATATTTCGTGTTCTTTTTAATCAACTTATAAGAACTCATCCCATATTTGTAAATATTAGTTAATACCCAAAATTTGAGATCAAATCGGTATTTATTATTTATAAATATAAAAATTAAAAGAACAACAATATATATGACAAGACTAGCAAATTAAGTGGGCATGGACAAAATATTTCCAAACTTTTTGCTCCTAAAGCAACGTCATCAATCACTCTTTCTCCAGATGCAAAATACAATACCAAAATTAATTTTATATTACCACTATTTTAATTTAATTTTATATTCACCTTTAATTAATCAACTCTCATTATGTATATGATATTATTTTTTATTAGGCCGTATTCTCTTCATCTGGTTTTCGCCGAACTTAATTTAATTTTGCTGAACTTAATCCCTATTCTCTTCACTTTATTCAAATAATATTTAGTAAAGATAATAAGTTTAATTTTTTTTTTTTTAAAATAAAATAAAATAAAAAAGTTAAGTTCAACAAAAACAAATTTAATTCTATAAAACTCTTCAACTTTAAAGAATAAATATAATAGAGAAGAGAAGGTATTGGGTGCGGCAAGCCGCACCAAACAATTCGTGCGTCAAGTATATATATGATATGCAATATTTAATATAAGATATGTATTATTTGATAGAAGATATGTACAACTTGTTGGAGGATATGTGTTATTTGATAGAAGATACGTACAGTTTGTTGTAGGATATATATTATTTGTTATAGAATATGTAGTATTTGATAGAGGATATGTACAATTTATCTTTGATAGAGGATACGTACAATTTATTACATGATATGATGTAATATTTGGTGGAGGATATGTGTTACTTGATAGAGGATACGTACAGTTTATTAAAGGATATGTAGTATTTGATAGAGGATATGTACAATTTGTTGGAAGATATGTGTTACTTAATAGAGGATACGTAAAGTTTGTTGGAGGATATATATTATTTGATAGAGGATATGTACAATATGTTGGCTTACTTGTTGCTTTTGTTTGTCGATTTCATCCTTTTGTTGGCTGATATGCTTCATTTGTTGGCTGATATGTTCAATCTGTTAGTTGATATCTATCTTTCGTTGACTGATATGTTCATTTTGTTGGCTGATATGCTTCAATTGTTAGCTGATATGTTCCTTTTGTTGGCTGATATACATAATATCATATCCTGTTATAGAGGATATCATCCAAATTATAGAGGATATCATCCAACTTATAGATGATATCATCAAACTTTGTTATAGATGATTTAATCTAGACAATATAATTTATTTTATAATAATAATTAAAAGGTCAATAATGGCGGAACCACCATTGAAGGTCCCGTACTAAGCTCATGGGTATAACATAACATGCTCATTTCTCAACCAAAATACATGCATTTGTTATCAAAACGCTCACAATTCAACATACAATCACATAGGACAATCAATTTCAACAATAATTATACATCACACAAGAAAGCCCCAAATCGATTTTTTTGGGCATTTTTCGAAATATCCAAGAATCTCAAGCAATTATCAAGCCAATTCAAGCATAAATCATGGACAAATATAATCAACAATCAACGAGTTTCTCGCCGTCGACGATATCACCGCCAATAACAACACCGTCAATGGGAGCGATCATTGGTATAAAGCAAAAACCCGCTGGACTGATGAAACATTTGGTCAGACTGGACTGACGCAATAGTTTGTGAATAGAGAATCTATAAAAATAAGCTTTAATTAGTAAAATATTTTAAGTTCTAAAAAATTTTAAATTTTGTAAAAATAATTTAATTATAGTAAAAATAATATCGATTTAGTAAAAATAATTTCACTACAACAAGATAAGGTGAAGAGAACCATGCCTTAAATTATTTTTTACTCAAATTAAATTATATATGTTGAGCTTAAATTATTTTTACTAACTAAAATTTACTTTAACCGATTTGTTATTAAGATTGTTCTTTGAAGTTACTGATTTTAACTGATTGAAACTTATTTTTATTAAAATGAATTTTGCTGAGCTTATATTTTTATTGAGCTTAACTTATTTTTGTTAAATTTAGCATATTTTTTATATTATTGAATTCCTTAATTCACTTTTCTTCGAAATTCTAATGAGATATTGGCCTAGATGCCTAGTGGATATGATTGAAGACTTGTGTACAATAGGTTGTAGTTTTAGATCCCCTACCCTATTTGTTGTTTATGTTGCTTTTTGACTCATTCATACAAAAAACTTAATTTTTCTACAAAAAGACCGGACTGCACCAAAGACCGGAAATTAAAATTCAAGAACCAGAGTCTGGGCTAGTTTTGCTTGGCCCGCATTCGAACTTAACCAGTTTTAGATTTTTTTTTTTTAATTATTTATATTACATAATGGAAAAAAGAAGTAATAGATGTAAGGAAAATGATTGTTTAAATAACTAATTGATCATTTAACACTCCGTACAATTATTCAAAGTACTCCATATAAAATAGCTCACAATATAAATTTAGTTATAACATTACAAGAAAACCGGTTCGATTTAAGATCAGATTTTTAGAAGTTTTGGACCAAATCGAACTAAAGACCGGTTATAAAATTTCATTAGCTTGGACATCGAATCAGTTCTCTCGATCTAATTTGGTCTGTTTTTTAAACACACCTAAATATAGGTGTAAAAGACAAATAAGACTTTTATATGGAGACGAATTGAATAACCCATCATTCTCCCCTATCTCTTGCACAGTTGTACTTTATATTTCCATGTGATTCATACACACAACACACCCATATGCACACATTCACACAAACACCAGTTGCACACCAGAGCAGTAGAGATACACCACAAAACTGAATTTTGTTTTCTGGTTGACTTTACAGCGTGAATCCCAAGAACCCCCAAAAGGTAGGTCCCACCATCCTTCCCATTGGAGCTGCTCCTACGGAGAATCTTCGCTCCTCCCAAACCAACCACACTTTCACAGGAATCATCTCTTCCTCCTTTTCTTTCTCTTCAAACAACCCACTTCAGAAGAGAGAGAAATTTTCTTATTTTTTTTACCTTTATTTACTCTTCATTTTGATTTGGCAAAAAGAAAATAAAAAAAAAAGGGGTCTCTAATTTTCTCTTTTTTTGGGTTAAAATTATAATAATGATTATTATTGTTGGGATTTTTTTAGTTATATAGCCAATATAGGTGGTGTTTTTGCATCAACATTTCTGACAATTTCTTGAGGCTACTTAAAAGAAAAGAAAGATTGTACCACATTTTTTTGGGCCTAGTTTTTTTCAGGTATCTTTTCATTCCCTACTAATTTTAGTAACTTTGCTGTTTGTATATTGCTTTTCATTGAGCTCCTTTTGTTATTTTTATTCAACAACCTTAATTTGGGTCAAATTTGGTTTCATTGCCTATCTATCATGTTGTTGGATTAATATTTTCGAATGGTAACTAGCTTAGTTGGTCAAGTCATGTCATCGGAATAATACCCAAGAACTAAGATCAAATCCCGTCTATCTTTGTTGATGGCTCTATGTACTCCAATTAAAAAGACAAAAGATGTGTTAATTTCTGATTCAATGATTTTAGCAAGATTGTAATGGGCTGCTACTTTTGTTAATACTTTTGTTCTTGTGCAAAGGCTTAATAAAGAAGCTGTCAAATAAAAAGTGTTGTTCATGCCAACCCAACTTTGAAAGATTCTGTAAAGATTGTATTTTTTTTTTTTTTTTAACTTATGTATCAGATTCTTCTGATATTTTTCCACCCTTAATTGTAAGTTGGTTTGGTCCAAGTTGTTGGAAAATATTTCTGGGATTCTCAGATTTGGTGGGGTTTTTATTCCTTTGTGAATTTGATGGGTATTTTTCATTTCTATTCTAAGTTATGTCATCAGTTAGCTTCTTTGACTGATGATGATATTGGATACAGAATGAACTTTTAATGAAAGTTGTGACCAATCTCAAAGGAATGAATTGATTCTTGTTTTTTTCTTAGTGGTTGAGTAATAACTAAGGATTTATTAATAAGTATTCGATTCCTATGAATGATTTTTATTTGATTCTTTTATGTGAAGTTCTTTAATTGGTAATAATTTAATTGGACAAATCTGGATTCTCAGCAGGCTAAGTTAACATTATAATTTTCAAGGGACGACGAAATCTTGGAAATGCTTATCTCTTATTGAAGAACATCAGCTTCTGTTTTGAGTTAGTGAGTGGGGGTATATTTTGTTTGATAAGGCTTCTTGGAACTTTGTAGAAGAAGTGGGGTTTTTGGCTGATAAATGGATGATGCAGTTTTCCATTCTAGTGTAGCAGTTGGAGCTCCATCAAGTTCTGCAATGGAACTTGATTATATGGATGAGCTCTTGTTAGAGGGATGTTGGTTTGAAGCATTTGATGGCTCTAATTTCTTTCAGCAAAATGTTTCGACTTCTGGTGCTATATTTGATTCTTCGTATCTATGGCCGATGCTAGAGGTGACAGATGAAAAATCGAGCATGAACTCATCACAGAAAAGTGGCCATCAAGCGAGGGAAACTTCCGAAATGGTTGATAATTCACCTCTAGTTGATACCCAAATGGGAGCTCTAGTCAGCATGTCTAATGGTCAGGGTTTGGTTAATATTGCTACTGATTCAAATCAGTTTGACAAGTTCTGTGATGAAGGTTCTGAGCTCAACAAACTGTTGTGGATCAAGCCAGGGTTAAATAAAGCAGCATCTTCTGTAATGGAAAGGTTGTTTAAGGCTCTTGGCTACATAAAAGATTCAGCAAAAGGCAAAGATCTTCTCGTCCAAATATGGGTGCCGGTTGTTAGGGGAAGTACTCGTATTCTGACCACTGTTAATCAACCTTTCTCAATCAACTCTGGCAGCTCACAACTTGCTAGTTACAGAAACATTTCTACCAATTATGAGTTTGCAGCAGAGGAAGACTCCTGTGTGTCAGTAGGTTTGCCTGGGCGGGTTTTCTTGGGTAAAGTCCCTGAATGGACTCCTGATGTTCGATTCTTCAGGGTCGATGAGTACCCACGAGTTTCTTATGCTCAGCAGTGCGATGTGCGTGGGACTCTTGCTCTCCCAGTTTTTGAGCAAGGTAGCAGGAACTGCTTGGGTGTTATTGAGGTTGTCATGACCACTCAGAAGGTCAACTATCGACCTGATCTTGAAAGTGTCTGCAGAGCTCTCGAGGTTAGTTGTCTCCATTTATCTTCATTAATGTGCTGTTTCATTAAGTCTTTGTTTTTTTGTGGATTTTACCTAAGCAACAATGTTTTGGAAGGTGACTAGATTTCCTTATGAGAGTTGTCTTATAACTAGTTACTATAATTTCTTTTTTCATCTTTTGTCAGAAATGTATCCTAAATTTGAGCAGTGTTCTGACTTGATTGTGAGCAACCTTTTCAAAAGTTGTATTAACTTACAATTTTTCTAAACCAGAAATTGTTGTCAAATCACAATATATTTTGTGATCTGTGTAAATGAAGTAACATAACCTGGATGATAAAAAGGTCACAAGTATTCCCTTTTTCCCAACCCCTTCCCGGTTTCCCCCTTGCTATGACAAATATGATCTTAACTATTTACCCTGTCCTTCTCAGGCTGTTGATCTTCGAAGCTGTTCCGAAATTCCAGGTCCTCAGAAATCAAAGGTAACAATTGTAAACTCTTTGGATGAAGTACAGTTGATTATTGATAAATTATTTTAATGAGCAGAATTTTCTTCATATCAGGAGTTCTGCAGTTCATACCAAGCTGCCTTACCAGAGATCCTGGAGGTAATAAAATCTGCATGTAGTAGTCATGGGCTTCCTCTAGCCCAAACCTGGGTCCCATGCATCCAACAAGGCAAAGAGGGGTGTCGACACTCTGATGAGAACCTTTCCCGCTGTGTGTCCACCGTTGATTCTGCTTGCTTTGTTGCTAATCCTTATATGCAAGACTTCCATGAGGCTTGCTCGGAGCACCACTTATTTAAAGGCCAAGGTGTTGCTGGGAAGGCATTCATGACAAATCAACCATGCTTCTCAGAGGACATAACAACTTATTCTAAGACGGAGTATCCACTTTCACACCATGCTAGGATGTTTGGGCTTTGTGCTGCTGTTGCTATTCGCCTTAGGTGTATCTACACTGGTAATGCCGACTTTGTGGTGGAATTCTTCCTGCCTACTAATTGTAGGGATCCTGAAGAGCAAAAGAAAATGCTTACTTCACTTTCAATCATAATACAACGGGTTTGTAGGAGCTTGAGGGTTGTCAGTGACAAGGAGATAGAGCAAGAAACATTAATGCTGAGTAAGCCCCTCTTTTTTTGATTGATTTTTACATAACTGAAATATGTTTTCTGATTAAGAAGCTTTTACTGCTTCAAATCATTTCAAAGTGATTTTTTTTCTAGCCTACTAAAAAATTTGCTGATTGTTGATTAAGCTGATCCTTTGACAAACTGTTTTTTTTTTTTGCTGGTTGTCTAGTGTTTTATTTGCAGTTTTCTAAATGTACTTACTTCGAGTTAAAGTATTATTTGACAATGAAAACGTATTTGGTTGATTAAAGTAATACAAAGTATTTGACAATGAAAATACTGATTTTTACTGTCCGAAGGTGAAGAGAACACATCCTAACAAAGTAACTGTGATTTCAGATGATTCACTCCATAGGAATAAGGTGTTAAAGGTGGAAGATACTGTGTCAGCTTCGTCTCAGGAAGAGTCGTGTGGGACTGCTCTCCAGGAAAGAGAGAGAACTAGAAGTCTCTCAGTTCCTCAAGAAGATCAACAAAGGGAGGTTTTAGCTGGGAAAGTGTTGAACCAGCATCCGCCACAATCCTACATGAAGGGAAGTCCAGGCAGTCTAGATAATTCTGCAATTGGTGATGGGAGTTTCTCAACTTCTGGAAAACCAGGGGACAAAAAGAGGGCCAAGGCAGAGAAAACTATTACATTGGAAGTTCTTCGTCAGCATTTTGCTGGCAGCCTAAAGGATGCTGCAAAGAGCATTGGAGGTATGCTGTTATTTCCTTTGAATTTGGATGGTTGAAACCCATTAATCAATTTTTCTGAAAATTTGGTTGAAACAATCATGCATAAATATATTTATAATACAGGTGATGAATTTGAATAACTAGGAGTACTATGTTGGGGGAAAATTCGAGCATTGTGAACACCAATTAGGCTCTTGTGTTTTGAAGTGCTAGACTAGTTTTGAGGTGTTGGAGTGGACTCTGAGGATTAGGTCACTTAGGTTAGTTAGGTGTAGTATGCTTGCCTGGGCAAAACGTTAGGATCTCTCCTGCATAGACAAATGAAGTAGGTTCGTAAAGTTTTAAGCAAGAGAGTGAAAATCTGGCAATATTTCTAATTTTTAATAATTGACAAGAAAAAGATTCAAGGAGGAAATCAGATAAAAAGATAGAACTATCAGTTTGACTGTTTGAAGAGTCAAATCACCATTGAAAGTACTTCAAGAGTTAAACTTTTAAGAAGCATACAGTCCAACCTCTTCTTTCTCTTTTAGTTACTCTCTTTGGATGAATTTCTAACAATTATAATATAAACATAGAAACATGAGGGTTGGAAAATGTTTCTGCTAATTCTACATTAACTGATTTTTAAAAATTCTTTGGATGTTGCAGAGTAGTGATGCTACAATGGTATTTTCCCACCAATCTATACTAGTTAGAGCTAAGACATAGTATATTTGAATCTCCTTAAATCATGTTTGACGCTTGGATCCACTTTGAGGTCTTCATACATTGTCCGCTTAGAGCTTACAGCTTATATAAAATCTAACTATTTTTTTTCTGTAGCAGTCTGCCCTACCACTTTGAAAAGGATATGTAGGCAGCATGGGATCAAACGGTGGCCTTCCCGAAAGATAAAGAAGGTTGGTCACTCTTTACAGAAGCTTCAAGTTGTGATTGACTCAGTTCAGGGCACCTCTGGTGCTTTGCAAATTGGCTCGTTCTATTCAAACTTCCCCGACTTGGCTTCCCCAAATTTCTCAAATACTAGCCCCTTTTCAAATTCTAAGCAAACTGATCCTCCGCAACAAACAAAGGAGCTCGAGGGTACTGCTACATCAAAATCTCCCACGTCCTCCTGCAGCCAGAGTTCAAGCTCAAGCCAGTGCTGCTCATCCGGGGCTCAGCAGCAGCCTTCTACAGGTAATAAAGCCTCTGGTAAGCAGGATCCTCAAGCGGGAATTACCTTGCGTGAAGGTGCTTTAAAACGAACAAGAAGTGAAGCAGAGATTCTTCGCACTCCTAATCAAAATGCTGCAAACAACACATCAAGGTCCCTGAGCCAAAAATCTCTGATTGAGCTGCAAAATAATATTGATGATCGTCCGCGTGTTCCAAAATGTGGGGTCCAGATGATCCAAGTAGATGATTCTTTGAGGGTCAAAGTCACTTATGGAGAGGAGAAGATCAGATTTCGCATGCTTAGGAGTTGGGGGTTCAAATATTTAGTGCAGGAAGTAGTTAAGAGATTCCATATAGGTGAAATGAGCGGTTATCAGCTGAAATACTTAGATGATGACTCCGATTGGGTGTTGTTAACATGTGATGCAGATTTGGAAGAATGTGTTGATATAAGTCAATCATCTCAGCGGCAGACTATCAAGCTCACTCTCCAAGTCTCTCATAGTCATTCAAGAAGTTCTGTTGCAAGCAACGGCCACTTATGACAGTTGCCACCCACATAAGAAGTCGATGTATGTATTAGTGTTGAGGCTTTGGTAGCTTAATGTAGTTATTGGATTTCCAAAGAAACAAGATAAAAGCAAGACAAGCAAAAAAGGAAACCGTCTCATGAGAATTTTCGTTCTCAGGGTTGCTGCTGGATGGAACGGCGAGTAGATGTTAAGCTGAATCACAATATTCTTGTAGCAATTTTTATCATTAGTCTGTAATATATGATACCTCATACATTCAAAGCAAAAGCATAAGCATATAAAGCTTTATAGGTATGAAGGTCATAGTTACCAAATTTGTTGTATCTTTGCCTGTATGTTTTTATTTAAGGCAATGAACCTTGATATGCTCTCAGCAAACTGTACCATAAATTTCCTCAAATTTTCCCTATATTTTTAATATTATTATTTTTTTATGAAAGTAGACTGTACCATATGTTTTATAGATTGTAAAGTATAATGTTTGAAGTTTATGTTGAGCGTATTCTATATGAAAAGTACATTACGTTTTGTAGAATACTCCAGTAGATGGCATGCATTTGATGCATAATAATATAATAGTGATTGAAATTATTAGTAAGGATAGAAAATAATTAGTGTATACTTATGGAGCATATGCACATACGGAGTGTTCCGTAGTACTATCTTTTATTGTACTCTTGTTTGAAAATCCTAGATCCGCCATTATTTTGAGTCCGTTTAAGCTTATGGAGCATCACATGGCAACTATCATTATTAAGTATATAATTTCCTTTATTCCAAATACCCACCTCCCAAGTTCCAACTCAAAAAGAGAATATCACTGATTAGTGATTAGTAGTAAGTGCCCAAGTGGGGGAAATTTAAGTGTTAATTATGTCATTTAATTAAGTGGTAATTATGTTTAATTAGTGTTCTCATATGGCCACTTGATGTATAAAATTGTCACTGAGCAACTGTTCTCGACATCAGTGATCTAGGGAACCTCTTTAATTATCATACTATATGCTATCGTTACAAAATATCTAAGAAAATAAATTATTCTCAAAAGTTTATCATGCAGCCGAAAGAGCCTCATTACCCCTAAGTGCAAAGCGTCACAAAAGGGTGGTAAGTGCACTTTGCTAAAGATACTCAAAATGATTAAACCTATAACAAAATTACTCTTTCAACTATGGCGATGCTTAACTTTGAATATCTAATTGTATTATTTGAGATTAAAAATATAAACAATATATGAAGGTAAAAATAATAGAAATATTATTGGGGAAAAAAAAAAAAAAAAAGCAAAGCCGTACTTTGTAAAATGTATGATTTGATTTGCAGGCCTAACAAATTAGAAAATGTCAATACAAAAATATAAATCATTTCTACTTTAAAGATAACTTTTTCTGAACATTGTTCAATTATACTCTATTTGTTCCTTTTTATTTCTGGTTTGTCTGTTTTCAATGCACACATCCACTTGACTACGTTGCATCTTATATAAATCGGTGAATAGTCAATAATTTTGTTTCTCTCTTCAAATAAAAGATTCCAAATGGAAAAAAATACATTGAAGGTTCAAACTTTTCTCATTAGATCTATCAAAATAGGAAAGACAAAGCAAACTTTAAAAACTCGATCTAATTATAAATTCGATCTAAAAACATATTCATTTCTTTGAATCAAGTTTTAAATACAGAGTACTGGTTCAATTCCTGTACATTAACCTCATCATGTCAAAAGGTATATAATAGCCCATAAACTCATTGACAAACTAAAGAATGTGAGATGATACAAATAATGTGTCACTCTAGCCTATATACATAGATGAATCATAATCTATGCTCTCACTCCTCTATTCATCAAATTATGGTTCACTTTACAAGAAGCTGCTGTAAGGGTTAATGAAATCGCTGTATGGGTAAATATGGTCTCAAAACTGATTTTCTTTCGTTCTATCAATTATTTTAGAGGGTAAAAAGAATGGGTTGAGTACTCAGCTTAGAACTGTGAAGATGTAGATGGCCGAGCATCTTCGTTCTCTAAGATGAGCCTTGAAGGCGGTCCAAACATGCTTAATAATACCTGCAAGCATTTTGCCAATTGAAAATTCAAAATACTAGACTGTTGATATGGTAAAGGCAAACTTAAGCCACTCTTCTGTGCAACAATCACATCATTTTCAACTTTTTTGTTATATTATACCGAGCTACAAGATGATCCATTTGAACCTTCAAGATTATCAATGCAATTGACTCTTTTTCTAAAGGAATTACTCTTTATGATTTTTGTAATGTGAAAATTTTGTGGAGAGAAACCGAAAAAAAAGGGAGGGAAGCAGCCAAATTATGATTTAGACAGACAAGACTCAGAAAAATCAGAAAGGTTTTATGCTCAATAAGTCGCCATTGAACAATGTGTGATTTTGTTGTAAATTCCCATCTTAATAAGAATATTTTATTACGGTTGTACTAAGCCCTTAGCAAAATCAACACAGCCTCTAGGCAGTGATGGTCTAAGAAAAAAAAAATTGTGTATCTGATATCATTAAGCCAAGAATATAGATTTAATATCTAGCCATGTAGGAACAAGGACCATAAAACAGGAGAATATTGGCTTTTTAAATAAGAATATATTCAGGAAAACAACTCACAGGTAAAAATATTAGACCATGTAGAAAACCAAGGATGACTAGAGCGAGGTACATCTGGAAGTAATAGACCTGCAGAATAGAAAGGTTTGTAGCATTAAAGCAAACAGACTAAGCAAACTTTCATGTTAAAGAGAAACAAGTTCTGAAACACATACTACAAAGACTTGTGATCTGGCGAATGCTAGAACAATAACACCAACTAACTTTGTTAATGTAATTCCACTGCAAAAAAGAAAGCAAAGCATTAGGAGATAGGACATTAGTTACTAATACTACAGGAGATAAATCATAATACATATAATATAATAGCAAAACAAAGCAGAAAACTGGTTTTTTACATGCTAGATTTTTTCCCATCATATGGCATGGTTTTGCCAGGCAACGCAGAACCAGGAGCTAACTGATCTAAAGTTATTACCAGTGCTACCTGATACTCCAATCCCTGCTAACACCCCCCCCCCTCCCGCGGGGAATTTCATATTAGGAATGCGTGCGTCGTATGCTGGATCACTTTTGGGCTAATATAACATGTAGGTAACGTATTGCAATCTCGTACTCATTTTACTTACCAAAGTGTACTACAAATTACATATTACACAACCCAAGCTATTACTTATTCACTATAGAAAGTAAAAACATGTAAAAAGTCACATTTCCCTCATGTAATTTTCTTATAGGAATGACAATTAAATTATCTGCCAAAACAGTATGAATGAACCAATACTCCCGGTCACAATTTAATTTTCACACTTTCCTTTTACACATGTCCCACTTTAATTGTTACACTTCGTTTATGGTATGGATCCACTGATATTTTACTACCTCCCTCTTCCAACAATCAAAAGTTAAGGTCCCAAACTCTCATTCAATTAAAAAATTCCTCCATTATCTCCCATCAAATATGCTAATCTATTAAAATATAGAGTGATAGATAAGCCACCAACTTATTGCATAATATTAAGAGCAAAGCTTGGTATGACTATTGAATTGGGACAGAGAGAGTACCATGATATATCTTGTTATTCATGTTTTTTTTTTTTTTTTTTTTTTTTTTTACAAAAAAAAAAAAAAAATCAGCCTCTAATTCACACAAACATGACCACCACGCCTGAAACATTCTAGAGTCATATACTTAGCAACAGCCAGTACTAACATATATGTCCCACCAAACCGCCATAACAGTGAAAATTCGGGATCAAGACAGCTTATATATTAGATGTAAAACCTGAATACAGAAGCCCCCATTGTACCCAAAGCCTCCTTCATACGCTGATCCCTATTGCCACCGCTTACCTGCATGAAGAAGCAGCCAGAAGGGCCATCAGAAACTTCACAGCAAGGAGACATAGATAATCAGAAAATGAGAATGAAAGAGATATTAACCATGAAAGCATGAGTTATGTGCACACAGAACTCAACAGCAATTCCAACTGACATTACAAGATTAACTACGGAAACTGCATTAAGTTGGATTTTCAAAATGGCCATAACCCCCTGAAAAGTATTAATCACGAATCTAATGTGAGTATAGTATACATGCTCATAAAAACAGTTCACAAGCATATTAACCTGAACAGAAAATTGAAATTTAGGAATTTACCATTAAATCTACAACTATCATTGTTATAACAAGTAGAATAATCAGCGAGCTCCATATGCTACAATCATCAATACAAGAAAACAAGTAGAGTCAGCATCAATCTATCAACAGAAGTTGAGAACAGAGAAGGGGTGGGGGAGGGGGGAGCATATGTTTCACAACATATACAAACCTCCAAGTAATAATCAGGCACACAACGAAGACAGCCCCTGTTCAGTCACAAAAACAGCATTATTTGTCGTGAGAAGGAAATAAACAAAATTTTAGACAGAACAATTTATGACAAGCTGGGAAGAAAGTCAGTAAATTTTAATAGACTCAATATTTCTAGTTGAAATAATACCTTAGCAATATAAATTATATCTACTGTTAGGGAAGGAAATCAGTAAAGTTAGAAGACTAACAATATTTCTAGTTGAAATATTAGGCAAAACAACTTATGATTCATGATTTTGAATACTTTTGCCGATCTTTATAGCTTAAAAAAGTTTGACTTTCACGCTTGTCAACTTACAACTTTGACTATTCATATCTTCAATTATTAATTAATAAAAAGTAAAAGAAGTTAGAAAATTTGGTTAAATAATCCCAGCTTTAGGCCATTTGTTTTTAATAATTCCAACTTTGAGTTACTTTTCAATAATCCGAACTTTGGGAGGGTATTTTCTCATTCAACAAGTTGCCAGGTGCTTAAGTTGTTTAAATCTATTCCAATCAAGTAACCACTAAAATACTTGGGTGGAAGTATTATCATCTTAAATAGTATATAGTGTATTTACAAGAGAAAACTGAGTTAAAAAGTACCTTGAGCTCAGATAGGCCGGAGGGATGGGGGTTGGGGGCAAAGTTTAAGCTCTTGTTATTTATCCAACTTCCAGAAGTTTTTGGATAAAAAAAAAACCCCAATTGTAAATACTCCGTAGCAGTTGATGTTTTTTATTTATTTATTTATTGAATAATTTTATTTTATTTTTTTGAAAGAAGTAGCTGATTTCTAATAATAGCGATTTGGAACATCTGCAAGAGGAAATTTTCCTGTCTCTCTGTCTTTGTTAATCAGTTACATCTTTGATAGAGAATTCTGCTACTTTTAGAGTATTAGGCTTCATCAAGGCAAGTTTTGGAAGGCCAGAAGATCGTCAGTAGGGGAAACCAATATGTGGTTCATGGGAGATAGAATAACTAGGCACTCTGTTTCAGTTTAATGTTCTATACTGAGATAACATAATAACACACCCACATTATAAAAATTAATC